GCTGTGTTATTTGGTGCATGGATATTCATAACTATTGTATCTCCTTTGCTAATTGTGGGTTTTAGCCTTTAAAAATGACTTCTTTATCACTTTTAATATTTTTTGGTGTGAATTTTACCTTCCTTGATATTAGGCTTGCAACCTCTAACTTTCATTCTTTTGCCTGGTATACATTTGGCCATTCATTTATTTGAGTCTTCCTGAATCTTTTAAATTAAGTGTGACTCTTATATACAGCATAGATTGGGCCTTGCCTTGTGAGCTAATTTGAAAATCTTTTTCTTTTAGTAGGTTGCTTAAACTCATTCACATATATCGATATGACTGATATGTTTGGTCTTAATTCTGTCATGTTTTATGCAATTATTGTGTGTAAAATATATTTAGCGTATTTCTCTGTATCATGTGCTTTCTTTGCTTTTTTTCCCATTTCTTTTGGTATTTAAGAAAGTTGTATATTTGTTCTATTGTTTACTTTTGTACTTGTAACATTTTAATGCCATTAGCCCCCTGTTTTCTTATTCAACCTTTTATTATCTAGTTTGTCAATTTTTAATAGTATCCTTTGACTTTCACCTATTGGCTGTACAACAATCAATGAGCTTATCTCCCTCCTTTCACTTTCCATTTTTAGTTGCATTATTTCTACTTTTTCAGACCATAAAACATTATTATAGTGTTTATATGTTATTATTCTACCCTCTGCCCTCACTTTTATTTTATTCCCAGATCTATAATTAAATATATTAAAAGCTCACCTATGCTGCTAATGTTTTCCCAGTTATCTCTTAATAGGATCCAACTTAGTCTATAGCAGAATCCTCAATAAGGCTTCTTTTGCATAATATTCTCCATGTTCTTACATGTTTAAAACTGTTTTTCTATACATTAAGACTTAAAGGACAGCTGGATTGGAAATAAAAGCCTTGGTCACCATTTCTTTCTTTGACTTTCCTAAAAATTCTCCTTAATCATTATTTTGCTTTGCATATTACTAGTTATTTCCCTCTTGCACCATGCTTTTTTTAATTGTATATATTTAAGGTGTACAACATGTATTTTAATATATATTCAAAGAAAAACGATTACTACAGTCAAGCAAATGAATATGTCCATCTCCTCACATAGTTACCTTTGTGTTGGGGGAGGTGGGTGAGAACACCTGAATCTACTCTTTAGGAAATTTCCAGTGTACAATACAGTATTACTAACTGTAGTCATGCTGTACATTAGACCTCTAGCCTATTCACCCTACATAACTGCAATTTTGTATCCTTTGTCCTCCATTTTTTGTCTGTTTGTTTCTCTTTTGTCTTGCATAACCCTAGATTTTCCCATCTTTGCTTCTTTTTCCCTTTATCACTCAGAGGATGTCTCTTTCTCTTCTTCCAGAAGCAATGGGGGAGAATCACACACATGTTCATGTACCTTTCCTGTAGTCGTGCACTGACGACCAGAATTCCTTTTCAATGCATTCACATTTAAGATGGACTTTCTCTTTCTAGCGGTGATTTGAGTTCAGTATTAGGCCTCCTCACCTCTTCCTCTCATCTTTTCCATACAGTCTTGCTGTCCACAAAAGCTTGCCACGGAAGCATGAGGAATAACTCTGCCTGGGTTTAGTGTTTATTTCTCTACTTACATGTAAAGTCTGTAGCATTCTCTGCCTTCCAGTTATACTGCAGGCCTGAGTTTTCTATTCTTCTATTTGTTCTTCTTGTTCATCTGCATTTTTTTTTTTTTTGGATTTAAGACCACCATTATCTTTGGCTGCCTAGAAGTAATTTGGAAAATTCTTCACTTTTTAAATTTTGAAATAAGCCTGTATATAAAGTGCAGGTTTTTCTTCTTAATTTTTGTAAGGCAGGTTTTTGTTTTTAGTTCTTCATTTGGCTTTTCATATATGGGATAGGGCCATAAAATAATGAGACTTGCTCAATAAATAATGCATGAAAATTAGTCTTAATAACTTCTTAAGTATCAGCTTTACGGAAAGCAAGATCCAAGCTGGGCACAGTGGTGTATGCCTGTAATTCCAGCCACTCAGAAGGCTGATCCCTTGAGCCCAGGAGTTCAAGACCAGCCTGGGCAACATAGAAAGACCCCATCTTAGAAAAAAAAAAAAAGAAGGCAAGACCCATCTATATTCAGTACTACCCGTTCAGATGTGTCTAAACAAAGGATATTTAGTTTCATCCAAAAGATGCAAATTCAAATGCCTTCAGGAAATTGGCACACAATACGTGTGAAAGGATTTAGGGAATAATAATAGAGAATGTTGGAGAATATCTGCCTGGCCCTGACATTGGATTTTAGACTGGACTGTATTAAAAGGCAGCGTGTGAAGTAGTCAGGCACTCAGATGGGGCCCAGATTGCCTGAGTCCACAGCTCACCTCCACCCCAGATATCCTGTGGCCATGTGACTGTAGAAAAGTCAGTTTACCTCCCTTGGTCTCAGCCTTCTCATCTATAAAAAGCAGGTACCTCAAAGGCTATCGTGAGGATTAAATAAATCAATACATGTAAAATGGTTAGAATGGTGCCTGATACAGACGTCGAGCAGCAGCAGCTGTCGTCCTTGTTGTCGTCGTTGTTGTTGTCATGATAATGCTGCTGATGATGTTGGAGGTGGTGGGGACGCTGACTCCCTGCCCCGTCACAGAATCCAGGATCTCTCACACCGAGCCCAAGTATCTTGAGGAGGAAGGCAAGAGGAAAAGAACAGATGCTTGTAGCGTTTCCTCTGTGCTAGGCACTGCGTTAGCTGCCATCACATACAAATTCAAGGTTTCCAGTGTCAGCCAGACTCTCAGAACCTCCCAGCTCTCCCCAGTGGTCCCTCTCGCCCGACATAGCGATTTCACAAGTCCACTTCTTTTCTGAAGACCCGTACTCCACAGCCTCTAGCTATATTCTCAGCACACAACTAAAGTGAAGAGTTAAGGTAGCCTGGAGTCAGAAGCTGGGTTCAAAACTCAGATGAGTTTAGAAACTGTGCCACTCGAACAAGTCTCTTGACTCCTCTGAAATTCTGTTTTTTTGTGGGGATAATGATGGTTCCTGCCTCATGGGGTTGTGAGGATGAAATGAGTCCATGCATGGAAACCCCGGCAATTACCAGCTAACCGTGCAATATTGCTTTCCATTTTGCACAGATGATAGAAGCCATCAGACAGTAACTCCTTCCACTTTCTGCTCCCCTACCCACACATCCATCCCGTCTGCGATCATCCTTGCCCTCTTCCCTCCCACCTCAGCAGAAGAGTCTCTCCCAGCCCAAGGCTAACCGCCCCACCACCTCTGACTCTCCCTCCCTCCTGTCCCCTTAGTGAGCTCAGCCTAGTTGTAACCCCCTCCTCTGTTACCACTGACCTTCCCTTTCTACTGTTTCTCTCAGCCCGTGAGACCATACTCAATAAACATTTACTTAACACCTACTATGTGCCAGGCACATGTTAGGAGTTGTGGATAAACATGAATTGAATGCATCATAGTCTATGCCCTCAGGAAAGGCAGGTCTAGATGTTCCTGTGCACACGACCCTACGAAGTGCTCAAGCCTCCTGAGGACCCTGCTTTCCCTCCGTTGGTGCCTAATCCTTCTGCCCATTACAGCCTGTATTAGTTCAGCGTTCTGCAGAGAAACAACCAATAAGATGTGTGTGTATATACAGAGAGGTTTATTTTAAGGAATTGGCTCACTCAATTGTGGATACTGACAAGTCCAAAGTCTACAATGTAGCCTGCAGGCTGGAGACCCAGGAAGGAGCTGCAGTTCAAGTTTGAAAGCAGTCTTCTGGCCAAATTCCCTCTTCTTCCAGGGATGCCAGTCTTTTTCTTTTTTCTTTTCTTTTCTTTTTTTTTTTTTTTTTTTGAGACAGGGTCTCACTCTGTTGCCTGAGCTAGAGTGCAGTGGCTTCATCAGAGCTCACTGCGGCCTCAAACTCTTGGGCTCAAGCAATTCTCCTGCCTCAGCCTCCCAAGTAGCTGGGACTACAGGTGTGCACCACGACCCCCAGATAATTTTTCTAGTTTTTGTAGAGATGAGATCTCACTATGTTGCTCAGGCTGGCCTCAAACTCCTGACTTCAAACAATCCTCCCACCTTGGCCTCCCAAAGTGCTGGGATTACAGGTGTAACCGTGCCTGGCCCAGTCTTTTTCTGTAAAGGCCTTCAACTGATCAGATGAGTCCCACCCACAAGGTGGATGGTAACCTACTTTACTCAAAGTCTTCTAATTTAAATGTTAATCTCATCTAAAACACACCTTCACAGCAATATCTAGAATAACGTTTGACCATATATCTGGGTACCATGGCCTAGCCGAGTTGGCACATAACATTAACCATCGCACGGCTGTGCTATTGCGAAGAGTTGCCTGCACTAATTGCTTCCACCTGTCCCTCTCAGTCACAGCAAAGCCACTGCACTCTGAGTTCTGTCCTCTCCCCCAGTTCTAGCCAGAAAGAGCCTCTGTCCCAGGCAGCAGGAGCTCTGGTCCTAGGCCATGTTCCAGACCCTCAAGCCTCCGCTGCCCAAGAGCTGCAGGGCAGGAATCTGAGAAGCATTCGGCAAAGCTCTGCAGCACACAGAAAGCCCAGGCAGCAGAAATAAGATAGGACTGAGCACTTGGACCACAGAGAGCTGCAGTCCAAGCCTAACGCCCCATGGGAAGTCACAGAATGATTTCTCTCAAGTAGTCCAAGCTATGGACATGCCTTCAAGGAAGATGGAATGTCCCCATGACAACTTCAGGAAATAAAGGTTTTACATCAAAAGAGACCAAAGTTAGACTTAGGACTGAACTTCACCAATGTGCATGAGAGATGCCAGGTGAGAAGAGAATGAACTTGGAGGGTGTGGAATAATAGGAGGGCTCACCTGTCTTCTGTTTTGCTTACAGCAATCACCTGTGGACACCCAGGCAACCCTATCAATGGCCTCACTCAGGGCAACCAGTTCAACCTCAACGATGTGGTCAAGTTTGTTTGCAACCCTGGGTATGTGGCTGAGGGGGCTGCTAGGTCCCAGTGCCTGGCCAACGGGCAGTGGAGCGACACGCTGCCCACCTGCAGAAGTGAGTCACTCTTCTCTCCCACTCCACTCCCCACTGCCTCTGCCATCTGTGGTTGTGTAGCCCAGGAGCAGAAGCCAATGAAGTCAGTCCTGGCATCATTCTGGTCGGATAGGGGAGACCTGGGGCAAAGAAGGGTCTGAAATGGGGACTGTGTCAATTCATAGATACAGCTGTGTAAAGTTCATCATGGATTATATCAGGAAAGCGAAACTTAGTTTCAACTTTCAGGTCTTCTTGTTTACATTTCATAGAACAAATAAATTATCATTATCATATAGAGCCCATTCTTTAAACAAACAAACAAACAAACAGAGGTTTATTTTCCTCACATAAACAGGAAATTTAGAAGTAGTATCCTTTCTGCAGCTGCTCAGTGAGGTCAAGAGCAATATCTTGGTCTTTCCTCATGGTTGCAGAATGGCTGCTACAGCTCCTTTGTAACCACATTTAATAGATCCGCATTCTTGATGGAAATGTTTAAGTAGCAGAAGGGTTGGCATGAAAAATAAAAAGCAGAGTGTCTAAGAGTTGAGATGAAGAGGTAAGGAGGGGGTGGCAAAAAAGCACAAAGAAGAAACCAAGACTCAGCCGGCGGGCTGGGTAAAGGGTGTGCTGGCCCCACTTGGACTGTT